TTTATTATTGAATCGAAAATAATGGAATTTATATGAAAAAGTTTCATAAAATCTATATTTTTTATCAATCAATTTATATATAATATTTTCATTGTCATCTACGAATTTACTTTTAAAAATAGTCATTTTTATTTAGATACAATATATATATATATATATATATATATATATATATATATATATATAAGAAGAAAAAAAACAGACGATGAACAGATTAATGATAATTATTAATTTGTAAAAATCCATTTATAAATTATAATCTACTAGTAATGCATGATTTTTTCTATATTATTTCAAGTAAAACGTTCTTATAGCTATAATCAATTTCAGAAGTATTAAAAAAAAAAAAAGTTATTATATGTATTCCTAGTAAATTTCCAGGTATTCTGTCGAAGAAAAGAGTAGATAATAATATCAAGATTATAAAAAAAAAATAAAAGCCATATATGCAGAAAATGATAAAAGGAATAACTTTTTAGTTTTTTTGTTTTTTTTTGTTCTCGATCGTCGATTCACTCGTAAGGTATTGCATGAATAATAATATATAGTGTGAAATAAATTATGACTTATTCTTATTGTACAGTGAAACGTCGTTGCGCAAGATATGAATATTATTTATTAATAAATTATCTATTACTGTATCAATAAATTCATATAAGTATTTTATATAAATGTCGAAATTGGTTTTTTTTTCTTTTTTTTTTCTTTTTCTTTTTTTTTTGTTTAATATTAGACATTAAATTTTTTACACATTAAAACTGCATATTATTATTATTAAGAAATTGTAAATAAATAAGAAAAAGCGGTTTCATATTCAACGTTTGATTATTACATTATAATATTATAAAAAAAATATATTTTAATGATATTTTACTATTTTCTAGCTTAATTATTTATAAAACATTTTTGCATAATTTTTAAGAATACCTTTACTTGTACATTTTTTTGCACTTCTATCGATTGCTCTTATGAGAGAAATTATCTTGATATTTATAAGACTGAGTTACATAAATTGAAACAAGTAAACAATTAATGTTATGAATTAAATGATTTGTAATAAATGAATATATTGTATACAGGAAAATATGAATTGCTTAATAAGACACTTAATATATGATAATACAAACAATTAATGAAAATTATAATGAATTTTGTAATACATTAATGTTATTATGATTTATAATATATAGTTTAATAATAAAAATAGCCAATTACTTAATTTTATCGTTCATGTAAAATACAATTTATAATTTATATGTATTTGTTCCGTAGAATTGAGATAAATAAATATAATATTTACAAATATGAAAGGTCACATATATACACCACGACAATATCAATTTCATTAAAAATAATTTAACTTGGATTAACTTAACTAAGGATATTTAGATCCTTAAACATCCATATAGTACAAGTTATTCGTGGCTTTAATTAACAGTGGTTTTAATGATATTTAGGTAAATGTAAAATGATTCTATTTAAATATAGATTGGATTAAATGAAAGCACAACGGAAAGAAAAAAATGAAATAGTCATGAGTTAAATTAATACTTTTATACATAATGATCATATATATATATCATATACATGTATATGTAAATATATAAATTTAATATTATCATTAGAGGAATAAATTTTAATAAATGCAGCAAGGATTATTTCAAAACATGTATGCAATGATGTTTAACATGTCGTTTACATGATAATATAGGAATGGAAAAACATACAGTCTTTTTTTCTTTTTTCTTTTTTTTTTCATTACTATCTTTCATTACTGCATTTTTTTTCATCTATTTTATGTATGTAAGAAGAAATATTGAAATAAATAAATAATATATGGAAACGTTAGCTTATGACATTTGAAGGTTTGTGCGTTCTAAGCTACTTCGAGTCCAATTGGATCCTTAAGGACGATACGAATAATATATGTACGTTTAATATCGTAATTCCGAATGTATGCATAATAATACTAACTTAATTTGTCGACGGGAACCAGTGTATCTGTACTCTGCCTACATGTGTGCGCGCGCGCGTAAAAAACGCGCACAACTCACTCTCAACAAGTATGCATACGATCTTAAACGAAGTACGAACTTGAAGGATCAATAAAAGTATTGATCGATATAATGATTATAATCAATATTTATATGTGCATATAAATAAACTTGAGAAGTATAGATCAGAAATGGTTAAGAAACTTATTAATGCACAAGGTCTACAGGGAGTTGTTAAAAGCCCTAGGATATCCAACTATTTATAGACGAAGATCACGGCTAGTGGAGGTTACCACTGTAAGAAAATTTATTTAAGTTTTGTATAATCCTAATGAGACATTATTGCTTGTGGATTACCCAATGATTTAATCGAGGGACGTTTTCAATACAAAACTGATCGCTTTGATTTGTTTACGAGAGTTCGTCAATCTTTGAAATTAATATGATATTTGGAAACTTCGTGTTTATCAATAATCTGCAATTAAATCCTATGCTCATGCACTTCCATATATAATCCCGTGCATTACAGTTAAAAATGCCCGTAGTAGTATTTATATTGACGAGTCCATTTAATAGTCCTGGCACGATTCGATCCATTACAATTATAGAAAAACTACGCTCGTACTGCGGATACAGTGATGGCGTCCCATTTAGCTCTTATTGAAAATAGAATAAAAAAACAAAAGACACCAAAAAAAAAAAAATTTAATTCGTCGAAGAAATGATTGTTGGCAGAATATACGTAACGTAATTCCTTCTTACACTAAATAGTTTTTACAAATCGATACATTATCCGTATATACGTGTGGGCGTCAGTCCGATGGTCCATTAATTTTTTTCACGTTCATTATAATTTTGGAGTTTTGTTTTCTTTTTGTAAGTACTTGGTGAACATTTTGGCGAGTTGTTTGATTTAACTAGGACTCCCCTACCAATCACTCAGCTTTTGACAATTTATTAGTAGGGCCGAGTACATGCTGAAGGTATAACACGAACAACTTCGAAACGAAAACAGCTTCGAATGAAGCTTCCTCGTTAAGCAAACCGATACTTCGTGCTCGGTACTCGTTCAACACCGCGTGCAACATGAACATGATCTGACTGATCACTAAGGAAACCAATTAAGAAACTTTTCTTATATTCTTTACAACTTTGCGGAAAAACGATGTTTCATCCCGGATCTGTTCGCAAGAGTCGTTAGGAAAGCATTACCAGAGTTGCATCTCTAGTTTCATCATTTCAGGACACGCAACTACCGCATAACCGTCTGATGATTTATCCGTAAAAATCTATAAGCCCTGACGTCATATCATGGAAAATATTTTCAATTCTTCACTCGCCTGTCTTTTCTGTTATTTCTCTTATTTTTTTCATAAACTTTTAATCACAAACTTTTGTAATTTGTATTTCGTGTAATTTTATGTTCCTACGATATATGGTTTATGTGTATTGTTTTCGTCTTCTTCTTCTTCTTCTTCTTTTTTTTTTTTTTTTATCAGATTAATAAGGTTGCCTCATCTTACACTTTTCTCGTTGGCAACTCGTTACAGAAGACAATTTATACAGAATATAATTACATGAAAGAGACACGAAATGGTAAATATGCTTGTAAGAACTTTAAAATTTAAAGCGAATTTACTAGAACAATAAAGTCATTGAGTAAAATAAAGCAATTCAAGTGTCGTTTCGAAAATAAAGTATAAATGTAAGGATAATGAAAATAAAAGCTTTCCAAAATCATTTCTAATGAAATTACGATGTATCTGTAAGAAAGTAGATTAGCGAAAAAATCGTGAAAATTAAACAAATTAGAATACGTTTTTGTAGATGATAATTTTCTTTGCCTTTAGTTTTATTACAACGAGGATTTTTATATTTGTATTTATATTTATTTATAATTTATGTAGTTGTACTTTGACACGAACTAGTTAGACGAAAACTCTTTTATCGCAATTACTTCTAATAAAATTCCTCAAACGTGATTCATGTAAAATTCGCGCGTTACCTTTTGAATGACATTACAGTGATCGATTACCGTATACCGCGTTAGAGAGAAAACATATTTATCAATGATTATGTGTAAGAACATACAATGACAATAGCATAGGTCTTAATATAAAGTACGAGGGAGTGAGATAGTAAATATAAAGCCGCGAGTATGAGAATATTCATAATAAGAGGAAGTAAATTGACTGAAAAACATACTAATGAGCATTTCGCTGCTCTTGATTATCACTTGCAATCGCAAAAACGTATACTTTGCAATTTTATTTTGTTCTCCTAAGCTTGAATCTTTTATCATCGTCAGCGTGTTTTTTCTTCTTTTTTTTTTTTTTTCTTTTTTTTTTTTTGTCTTTTAACACGTTAGACAGCCGCACGGGGATACACAAAGTTGCTCGAGTACATTTAAAAACGACACGCTCAAATGCACAGTACTACGGCGCATGCGTTGAGTATTGCTCGCATTAACGCCGTTAAGCATGCAAAATTCACCGACTCTTAAGCCGCACAAAAGAATTATCATAATACTTGACAATCGCAGTAAATAATTAATTGTTTATGTTGGAGCAAACTAAGGAGAAGCGAAGCAATATTTGTGCTTATTGAAAAAAAATTAGCGGTTTCACACTTGTGATTGTGACGCATCTTACACCGCGACGAACGTCTTAATTATCTATTTACAAGGCCATTAAGCCGGTTGAAATTATAAATAATATACATCTGAGAGGGAGCAAATTACTTAATATTGTTACGCATTTCATTGATAATTGCACGATAGTTGGTTACTGGTTGCTCGCTGGCTGCATCGGGAATCAGGGGGAGGGGAGGATCTCAAAGAGTACGCCAGAAAGAGAGAATGAGTGAGAGAGAGAGTGAGAGTGAGTGAGAGAGAGAGAGAAGCGCGCATAAGGGCAGCCTACAGGCCACAACCAGGGCCTCGTAATTCGTGTGCGTGAGTGAGGCCGCAGTCAGGTTATAAACCATATCTTTTCGTCCTTTCTTGTATCTCGTTTCACACGCGGCAAAGATAATAATTCTAATGATGGATAACACTATCACACAAAAGGTAATTAATTGAAGTAATGCAGTCGGCAGCGTTCGCGACGATTTAAGGATTGAAACAACGTGCATTTGATGCAATATTCTCCATATTGAATGGCCAAATGGAGAGATACGGTGTCAATTTTTTCCTCGTGAAGCAAGTTTAATTTGGAGGTTAAAGAGTACAGGCTTTAATTTCGTTGTTTTCTCATTTTTTTGTTTCCAGAACGTTCGTTTGATTTTGACATTGACGAGACTTACCCCGTTCGCTTTAATGGTAATCTTACGGTTTTTGCAAGATCAGCGTGCAAAATATATGCTCGGATCAGTATTTTCAATGCAACGTCGAACGAGGCCTAAGATCTTAAGAAATCGTGGGGGTATAAAAATAAATCGAAGAAAGCAATAATTTATGAATTGTTGATGTTCGTCATGAAAAGTTGAAGTCTGTTATAGCTTTCGATTAACACGATTATTGAGATATCGATTTTATTATTTATGATTCGGATGGAAGATACTTGCTCAGTGAACGTAGTTGTAGAAAAGTAAGAAATAGCATGTATGGGAAATAAAAGCGTGCTCATTTATAAAGTCAATTATTGATATTTTCGTGTTAACTGATAATGAAGTAATTGCACGTCGTTCGTAAAATTTTGAAATTAATAGTCGAAGTTGAAGATAGAAATGTAATATTGATATTTAACTTTTATGTTATATACGTAAAACTTAAATGCATCGTATGTAAAGCAAATCGTTAATTCTCCGATTATTACACAAATTTGGTCGTCGGATGAAAACAGCCTTGCCTAAAACGTTTAAAATACTTTAAAATATTTTTAAAACAATTATTAAATACATAACATTAAAGTTTATTTTACAGGTACAAGATTATAAGGACTCTTTAAAAAAGAAGGTAATTTGAGCGATTCGCTATGTTCTTTGTGAATGTTTAGTAAATGATGAATGGTTTATGTCGTAGGCCGAACAGTTAATTATAAAGGAGTTCCCAGAGAAGATAGTTAAACTTAATCAAATTCTTGAAACGCCAAGATTTTGTAATCGAGATATAAAAGAAGTTCACCAAGACTTAAATGTACCCATTCCAGATCCTATATTAATTAATCATTCCGAGGATGGGCCGAATACTAAGAAACTTAAGTTGGACAACAGCGTTGAACAAACTCCTTGTGGTACAAAAGTAATGATTCTTCCGAGTGGTTCCGTACCTTGTAACGAACCTCTTTGCGATTTGCTTCATATTGTCAAGCCATATATCCGACAACTTTTAGAAGATTCAAATCTTGTACGTTTATTATTATACAATATTTATACATAAATTTTATTAAAAATTATTTTTTACGCTATAAATTGAAGATTCAATAAGCAATATGTATTATTAATTTTTATTTTCAGTTAAAAATGTGGATTTCTTTCATGATTCCAAAAATTGAAGATGGAAATAATTTTGGAGTTTCTATTCAAGAAGACACACTTGCCGAAGTACAAGCAGTCGAAAGTGAAGCTGCAGCATTTTTTGATCAAATTTCAAGGTAAAGATTAAGCATGATTTCACATTAAATATTATAAGAAAATACTAAATTGTAATTTGTATAATCTTAATTTGTATATGTTTTGAAGATAATCTTATATTTTATATTATTTAATTAAACTAAACACACCTTCTATTTCTATGTTGGGAAATTATTGCAACTCATATTGGACGATAAGATTTAAAGATTCTCATGTTAATTATTTATTGAAAGCTCGGTTTTTGCATAAACATATCTAAATAATAATAAATCTTTTATCTAGGTACTTTATTTCAAGGGCAAAGATTGTAAGTAAAGTTGCAAAGTACCCTCATATTGAAGATTTCAAGAATTAGATGAAAAAGAATACATAAGTTTATGGCTGGTAATGTGTGAAATCCGTAATCGCTATTGTTCACTACATGATCTTGTCATTAAAAACTTAGAAAAAATTAAGAAGCCACGTTCTTCAAACGCAGAAAATTTATATTGAAAGTCTGTATTTATTTGTGCTATAGCACAGTGGACATTAATAACAAATACCTTTTAAATATAAATGTCGATAAGAAGAGTGCCGAGATTAGTACTGAAAGATTCATGTCTATTTTTAGAATCTGTCAGTTTAACGTAGATATTTACATTTAGTTTGCTGATATAAAAATATTTATAGTTACAGCACGACATTCTTTTCTTTTATATAACAAATAAAATACAATGATGTCGCGCTTTAATTGTATATAGTATTCTTATGATAATCTTCGGTACTACTTACAAGTTTTAGTTCATGGGGCGAATGAACCACGAATCATTCATAAGTCGAAATACTACAATCATTACAAGTTGTTTATACTTCCGCATGACGATGCACTATTGCAAGAAATATGTGCAAGTAGTTGAAAATCAAATGAGTGATATATGATTTTGTTATCGAATTAAGTCATTATTCTAATGATACTGATTTACATATTTGGCCAATGGACATACTGTATGAAGAAGTGTAGATGAGTGCTTTGTCATATTAAATTATGGAATTTTATTTTTTGTAACAAACGTCGATTTATTTGATTTAAAAGATAATACGAGTGTATTCAACAGACGAAAAAATTATCATATAAAAAAAAAAAAAAATCTAAGCATAATTTACTATATTGTATTGATTCCATATTTAGAAATGTATGTAATTCATTATAATTAATCAAATATAATTTTTTTAATCTGCCGTTTATTTTTGTTCATTCAATTTATTTTTTAATAATTTATATTTCTTTAACATTCTTTTTTAAATTCTTATTATTTATTGTATAATTTTGTTTAATAAATTACTAAAAACTATTTGTTCATTCAATAATTGTACGATCATGCAATAAAAAAATATGTGTTGTATATTTTAATAGATGGCTTAAAGAAATCAATATAATTTTCATATAAATCATTTTTTATTTTATATCTCGGTATTGAAAAATATATATACAATTGAGTTCAAAAATTGTATAACAATGTAAGCAAAATCGTTACAAAGTAAACGTAGAAAATATTTTATTCTTTTTCTACATTAAATAATTTACATGTTTGTATATATGTATATGTATATATATATATATATATATATATATATATATATATTTATTTATTTATTTATTTATTTATTTATTTATATAATATATAATCGAGCAGAATTTTATTACATTCAATTCTATACTATCAATTTCAATTTTTAGAGAGCAATTAGAATGTGAATTTGTTCAATTGCATGAAATACTCAATAAAATTCTTATCATATAATGCATCTTATTTATTAAATGCAACTAATGTTTCAAATTTGAGTATTATAACAAAATTTTATTATAAAAAAGTGTTTTAAAATAAATCGATTAGAAAAACAAATAAAAATAGTTTTCAATCAACTATTTTTCATTATCATTTCTAATATGAATAATTACTTTAATAAACATTAAAAACAAATGGAGCTAAAAATGCATCACTTTTATAAGATCATATTTTTGATCTTACATCTTTATTTATAAACAATATATAAATATAGATTGTTTATACTTATTACAACAATTTTGATTAGAAACAATTTATTTCTCACTTTAATTTTTGCGTTGAAGTAAATTTGTTATTAGATAAATATGTATTTATAAATGCAGTATTATCACAGATAATGCAGAATTCTAATCATATTTTTACTACAGATTCTTTTATTATAGAGTTTAAATCATTTTTACCCTTTTAATAAAATTATTTTACAACTATTTTGTCATTCTAAATCATTTCATTAAAAATTTACTATGACCCTGATTTATATGTAAAATGTTTATTTAAAATAATTTACATTTTACAAAATGTAAGCTTTGAATTGCACAAAAGTTTTATCTAAATTTCTACGGGCTCAATTGTGTTTGATGGTTTTCTTCTCTTTTTTTTTAAAACCCTACCGAAATTTCTTTTAACCCACTGACTTCTTTCTTTTTTATTCAATTTATCGGTAAGCCAATCATTTTTCTCTTTCAGTAATTGATTATTATCTTTCATCTCTTTATTTAATTGTTTTAATAGTTCATTTTCATTTAACAGATTTTCTGTTTTCAATTGTTGTTCGGAATTTTTCAATGTAATTTCGTTTGAAATTGTATTAATATGTTTTGAATTAAGTTGGGAAATTTGTTCTTTTAAATTTTGATTTTCTAATTTAAGCTCATCCTGAGATTTCATTAATTTTTTAAAATTTTCTCTTAAACATTTATTATCAAATTCTTCGTGATTATCATTACTTTCATTTTTTAAGCAACAGTTAGCTTTTATTTTGCCTATAAGCTTTATATTATGAAGCTTCTTGGCACATTTATAATGATAAACGGATTCACACTGCGAACATACGTAAATATTTGCTTTTCTGTTAGGACAACATTTAAATGTTGTGACAGAATGTTTGCTCGTATTTATTTCATTGTTTTCACGTTTATCCTCAAAGAGTCCTGGATTTATAAAACAATATTTATTAAATCCTTGGGATGTTATTGAGGGCGTTTGACAATTATCATCCAATGTTCGAATATTTTTTAAACGATAATCAATCTGAAAGAAGCAAATCAATAGAGTTTGTAAACAATACAAGCTTATGCAATAATATACAAATAATTAATTAAACCAGTTTCATAATACTAACCATATAAAATAGCTCTTGTACGTGCACTTTATGCGCATAGTTCATAAAAACTTCGCATAAAATTTGTATAAACCAACTTCCATTATATTCATCGCGATATGATACGTAACCTGGTATTGTTGAATATACGATTAGCATATCCTCGTAATTTCGAGTTGTTTCAGAGAAATGCATATATCGCTCTTCAACTCGAGGTTTAGATGAACAGGCTGTATCTACTGTATACCTAGGTACTGCCACTTGCTCATTTTTGCCTCTAAATTAAAATTCCATTTATTAATATTTTATAAATTAAAAATATATAAACAATTATAATTTTCAATGTACCTGCAAGTTTGAAAAATAAAGACTTTTGGCTTGCCTGAAAGATTTCGACAATGCTCAGCAGTGAAATAATTCATAAGTTTTGTACATACAACCTTTTTATATCCTATTAGATTATAATCGACTCCAAGTATTTCTGTTTCCTGGTGTCCAAGTTTTCCACTACCATGAGAAGAAATTATAACAAAAGCAGAATCTACAGGACGAAGTTCAGGCATTTGTGATGTGAAAATTCTTCAATTCTATTTTGTATCTCCTAAAATTATAACATTATAATCTTAAATTAGCTGATGTATATTTAAAGATGAATCTTTTTCTAATCAATAAAAATTGTTCGAATCAACTTGAAATTTATATAACAGTCAACAAATTTATATGAGAACTAATACATCAATTTCCATTAACATTTGTTTATAAAAACACCAAGTGCATGCATATATATATATATATATATATATATGTATGTAAAAAAATTTTACAATGAAGCTAAAATAAGAGCTAATTTTTGTTACATTATAAACTATATTATCAATGACACTTTGCATTTAATATGTACGCGATACAAATTTAAAAATAATCATTTGCACAAATTGAATAATTACCTGTCCAGTTAAATCAAAATATGTTATAACCTTGAAACCCATTTCTTCAAAAAGTTTCTTCAAATTTGCTTCATCATGTTTGGCACTTGGTCTTCTATCCTTATGTTTTCTATACAAATTATTTGCAATGATCAAGACCATTCCTCTTGGATTACTCCTCATTGGATAAACAGCGATGTGTTTAATTTCAGGTCTATCTCTAAATTTTGTTGCCTTTTTAACATTTATAGAAAGTGGCTCCTTTACTACCTGCAATTTCGTATGAAAATTGTCCTCCCTAGATTGAAAATAAAATTTTTAATGTATTTGATGATAATTTCTGTTTATTATTATTAATGTATTAATTTATTTTGAGATATAAAAAAAACCTGGAGGAATCATCATCCGATGTTTCTAATGAAATGTAATCAGAATTTTCCGACGTTGGTGTTTCAGGCCTTTGTAATCCATTATTGTAGTTAGTGTCAATGACATTCCTTTGAAGATGATCTGCCATATCATCCAGTTGCAATTCTTTCAAACTTGCAATCAAATTCTTATATATATTTATACTCAAATGTATTTGATCTTCCATATTTAAGAATGTTGTTCACGTTACTTAAATAATAATATTTAAAATGTTATTATTTGTAATACAAATAGCATTGTTGATAAGGCAAGCGTGCCAATGTGCCTTTGTGTACGCGTGTGCGCGCGCTTGTCGATGCTCGCGTGCGTTTGTGTGCGAGCGCGCGCGCGTGTGTGCTTATGAGTAAATAAATCACCGAGTTGTCAAGATCAATCGCTTTCATATCAGTAATATCAATTCTAAATTCTAAAAATTACGGCTTATTTACATCGTAGCTTTTAATTGATATTTAATTCTTAATTTAATGATTAATCATTCGAAAACTAAAATGCTTAACGATTGCAATAAATATCCGCGAAACAAAAGAAATTATATTTACTTACGCAATTAGTGAGCAACAAGTGTTTATCCACAAATATACAATTAGCTAGAACAACTATAATAAAATTGTAATTAAATTAATGAAAAATTAAATTAATAACAGAAATATATTCGCCAATGTATGACACGCTTTTGCAAGCGCCATTTGTCCTAACTCCTAAGACCTTTAACGTTCTGACTTTGAGACTTGGATTCCTTTCTTTTTCTTTTCTTAGGTCCTTGATCCTGATCCGAGTACCTTGAACATAGCTATGAATGGTGGATTTTCGTTGATCACGTCATCGATTTTTATATTAAAGAATATTAGAAATAAAAAATTAATATTCGATTGAAAAATAAAAAATATCACGTAGAAGTAAATAAATATTTTAAATTAAAAGAAATTATTAAACATATTAATAAATATTTTAATAAATTATCTGTATTACTCTTGTGCATACTTTGTTTAATTCGTACAATTACTAAAATTATATATTTTAGAGAATGATAAAAATTACAAATTTCATACGAGTGAAAATTTTAATTAAGTTATTAAGTACGTATAGTAGGAATTAAAATTTAAAACACCAAATAAATTGTTTTTTTCGCTGCTTTTTTTTTTATCACAATTTGCATATATATATATATATAAAATTTTAATTATTACACTATTAAATTAAAATACAATATATTTCATAAAAGAAACAAATATTTCTTAGATTACAATGATTAATACATATTCTATCATGTAAATTCGATATAAATAAATAAAAATTGATATATCTAAGCATGAATAGAATAGCAAAATTCTTCTCACTTCACTATTTAAAATGAATTATCCCCTAATTATATAATATAATACAAATATGAAGAAATATTTCGACATATTTTTATCAAAAATTACAAAATGTATTTAGTAAAAAACTTGGTAAAATTTGTATAAATGCATATTATTTGTCTAGTTTATTTCGCTAGACTTATGAAAAAGTCCAGGATTTAGAAAGCAGTGCTTATGAAAGCCTTGATTTATCACCCATAAGGTCTGACACTTATTACAAGCAGTTCGTAAGTCTTTTAATCTCCTATCAGTCTGAAAAAAAAAAAAAAAATACATTAAAATCACTTTCAAGAGAAAGAATAAGCGATAAAACGAATCGATTAATGTTAGAATTCCAAGTGCCGTACCATGACAAATAAATCCTGTATGTGTCGTTCACACGCATAATTCATAAAAACTTCGCATAAAATTTGAATAAACCAGCTACCGTTGTATGTATCTCGATAGGATACATAACCTGGTAAAGTAGCATAGGCAATCAATGTGTCTTCGTAGTTGCGAGATGATAAATTGTATGGTTGCTCGGTATCAGAGAATTCGGCTGTTACTGTGTCAGTGACACTTCTCGAAACAGCTTTTTGATGTTTAATGCCCCTGGTAGAATTTGAAGAAAAAGTAGATAGATTATTTGAATTAAAGTTGTTTTGAGCTACATTAGAACACCTTTGAACAATTTTTTCTTTTTTAGCGCTAGAAATAAAAGATATAAACGTTAAGACGTTTAATTATAAATTAACTATGAACTGTTAGTAAACATTTTTCATACTATATAGAAAAAAGTAAAATAGTTATTTATGAATATCAAAGTTAATTAAATGTATGCGTATGCACTAACATGGCACATAGCACAGTACACTTGGGCATTTATAATAACGTAATTTTTATGCTCGTTTTGTACTACAATTTATAATAATCCTCGAGTGTAGTGTTAATGTTTAAAATTATATTTACATAATAAATTGCTGTATATAATTAGAAATGCGTGTATTCGAATGCACCTCTTTAGCACTAGATGCTTAACAATCGCGAATAGTAAATCAACCAACCTGCAAGTCTGAAAAATAAATATCTTTGGTTTACCACAGAGATTGGGACACTGTTCTGCAGTAAAATAATCAATAATATCTGTACAAAATACTGTTTCGTAATTGGGCAATTTATAATCCGTGCCCTGAATTTCGGTTTCTTGTCTGCCATGTTCGCCAGCGCCGTGCGATGAAATAATAATAAATGCTGAGTCCACACGACGCAATTCCTTCATTTTCGAGAATTCTTTAACTTTCTTCTTAATTTGCTAAAGCACATATAAATTCGTAATTATCTTATAAAGATATGAAATTATAAAAAGCACGAATAAATATTACTTACATCTCCCGTTAAATTACTATGTATTATGACTTTAAATCCCATTTCCTCAAAAAGCTGTTTCAAATTGGCTTCGTCGTACTTGGCGCTTGGTCTACAATCAACCATTTCATACACAATATTGGTTATAATTAAAACTAAGCCACGAGGTATACTTCGCATCGGATATCTTTCTATATCTTTGATCTCAGGCCCGTCTTTAAATACATCGGCTTTTCTAACTTTTATACTCAATGGTTCAAAGTTCTTAACTAACTTAGTATGGTAATCATCTCTGTAACGCAACAATGATAAAATTACTTCAAACCATTATATACCGTTACACAAACAAATTATTTAAATCGATATTTTGTCAGTAAAGCGTTTACTCACTTGGAATGCTCGTCGAAATTGGAGTTATTGGCAGATTCGATAGAATTACTCGAAGTTTCGTTATTTGGACCTATATTATTATTATTACTATTACTAATGATATTGGAAGATCTATGGTTTTCTAACTGATCCACTATGGGTTGATGACCAGACTGACTTAGGCTTAAAATAAAATTCTTGTATGCGTGTGGGCCTCTTGTCTTTATCGTGGTGCATATGTCACGCACCGTGTCCACGCTTGACAAATGTTTCTGCAACATTAAGATAAAGATAAAAGCCAACGATAAGATGTCAATTGCTAGGATAAGTGCATTCATTACCTGCCAATTAGGAATATTAACATCGTCCCTATTGTAAACCTGATTCTCCAACAACTTTGGCCACAGCTTATCAATATCGATACTTTGCAATAGCTGATTGCACAAGCGGTCGATTTTCTCCCGATCCTTGTACTCCATTGTATTCCCCACTTCAAAGGCCGAAAGTCACGGAGCTCAAACCCAGCCCTATCCCAAGCTTGCCTCTCATTTACGAAGATTTAAATAGCAAAAAGGCACTTGGTGTTAACGTTGCGCAAGTGGCCGAAAACGAAAATTCAAAGTGCCAACTCCTTTGTGGGACTCGCACGAGCTCGCCAATGATCGTTCGACTGATTCACCGCGTTCGCGCCAAGGCATTGCTCTCTCTCTCTTCTTTCTTACAGCGATGCCAGCCAGTGCGGAGTCGTTCGTTCCTGGTAAGGTGATTCGCGACGCGGTGCAGCTCTCCGCTCCACGCGACTTATCCACCATCAGCCTTTCTACTTCTCACGGAGACTCGCATTTTCCGTGATTGCGACCCAACCTCACGGACCCACAACGTCCTACTATAAATAATGCCCCGGAGTTTGTCCGCCACTCGCCTCCTCCTACTCCTACGCCTGACCCGTGCACCACTCCATTTGAACGCGGAGCTCACCGCAATGCAGCGCCTTGCACTTGTCAACTCCGCCAGCAGCTTTCATTGTTGTTGCAGCTGCTGCGATTTGGCAACACCGCCGACCAGATGATTCACCTATGCGCGCATGCATAATGCATGCGTTTGGGGGAAGAAAGAAGATGCCCTGGGTTATAAGACGTCTGCTGCTATGAAGGAGATGCCGATGGGTTGACGGTTGACTCTGGGTACACCTTCCTCGGCACCGTATCCCCATCACAGTTCGTATTGGCTTGTGAGAAGAAAGAAGCGTGGATGTCTAAGCGGACATCCCTTAAACATTAACCCTCGATCGCTTCGCACTGACTCGGTAACGTCGTCGTCGTCGTCGTCGTCGTCGTTGTCGTCGTTGTCGTCGTTGCCTGATTTTCTCACGTTATTCTCGGGAGCGCGACTTCTTTTGTTTCGTTCCATCGCCCTCGCTTTGGCGAGTTCAACAAAACATTATTCACCGGCGTTATCGCTTAAAAAGGCATTTACCTCGCCGGTTACCTTCATTCCTCTTCGTTATCGCCAATAATTTATCAATCGATCTTCGCTTTAGCCCCTCTTTATTCGCGTTCGAGCGACAGCGGAATTAGCACTCTTATAACGGTATTCCCGAGGCTTTTTCTATTTTGCATTCATGTTTATAAAACGAAAGGATGATCGAGCATCGAGCGTAAACATTAAGTGACACAGGCACAATTAATTAATTGTACGTCTAGTTTTATCATTGGGGCGTTTGACGAAAATTTCAGCAACGCATCGCCGAATTAATCGGTTTGCAAACTTCGCGATAACTTTAATAAGAATCTCTACCGTTAGTGCCATTAAAATAAAATAGACGACCTGTCAATTATGCAATGCTGACATGATATTATTTGGGGGGTTATTGAAGGGAGCGGGGGCGGGTAGCGGCTGAGAGGAGGTGGGGGTTGTGGAGGAGGCAGCGATGCATGGACGAGGTTCCCTGGCCTCGCAAAGCCGTACTTTACAAAGAAAAGGCATTGTTGGGAGGGTTGCGATTGCAGTCCTAACGATTCTATCTTACCAAGTAAACATATATCATGAATTAATTTATACGTATATTGATATAATGGAAGCAAGACATGATATATGTATATATATTATAATTGGGGAAGAGCTGAGTCGGGGAGTAGTCGAGGAATTTTGAATCAAGTTCCAGTTTGGGCAAAATGACGCGCTCGAATTTCCTAATACCGGTTACGAGAAAAGCCCTATTATCATCTAGGGTGTCGCACGTACACACGCTGATGCTGATAGTTGGATGTTGCCACCGCCACTACGGCCACCGCCGCCGCCGCCGCCGCCGCCGCCGACGCCGACGCCGCCGCCGCCGCCCGAAGTCGCTTCCCTCGACGACGTCAAAGTCGCGCGGTCTCAGTTACGATTTGGCCGAGACCAGAATTCTGATCGAGTCTGCTCGTCTTGTCCCCGAAAATCAAGGGCGCGTCGCGATCTGTACGCGTGTCCGCGCATCCGCACTCGAGTGCGTATCGAGCGAGTAGTGGGTAGGGAGGAGGCGTCGAGGTGTTCCTACTACTGTTGCTGGCTGCTGCTGCTGCTGCTGCTGCTGCTGCTGCTGAATCGCCTAACCATGCGAGGCGAAACGACGCGAGTAAACGTAACGTAGCAGCGCCCTTTCGTCTCTCGATCATTGTCCAGCCGCGTTGCCTTTTACGTCGCCTCGCCCCCGCAATCCATTCTCACGGTATCCAAGTGGGCTTGGACACGGGGCCCGGAGCATCGCATTGGCGACTTCGTTGGCTGACCTCGACGCGTGGATGGTCCCTTTTCCCTCGTGTTCTCGCGCCGACGGACCAAACTCGCGTCTTATGGGGTAGTGAGAAGGCTCCAGGGTGTGCATTTAATGTGAGCAAGTGTGAGTGGACCACGATCTTAAGTGAAAATTATCCATACTCTGCATGTCATTGGAGCTCGTAGTTGCGTGCTTTCTTGTTTTTTTTTTCTTCTTTCTCTCTCTTTCGACGAGCGACGACAGATATACGATTAATAATGCCTTAGTGCGTTCCAGGTGATTGGTAATGCAAGAGGAGAATTTGCAAATTCACATTCCGCGTACGATTGTTCGCGCGAGCCCGAAAACGCGTGCGCATGTGAACACGCACACGACGGACTCGTGCACCCACGTTGGGGCTTTTAGCGTAAAAATAAATTAAATGTATCGGTAAATAGTGTGACGTCGCAAGCATACGCTTTTGCATTCGCGGTCGGCATGCATGTAAAGTAGGGGAAGTAGAGGCAACGGGTTTTAAATAAACGAGCATTGAACTTTTTAATGTCCTGAACGATGTACTATGCCTCTAATGTGTTGTCTTGTTCACTATAATAATTTTGTTGAGAACAAAAAAAATGACATTGAAATAAGACAGGCCATAAGAATGCCATTTCATTAATATACGACATCTATAAATTGTTCATTTGCATCGATCATTACTTGTCAAACTCGTTAAACAATTGTTTTACAAAAAGCGTCTCACTACATTCTTATTTTTTAAAACATTTATTTTAAATACATTTAAAGTGCCTTGTGCATGCTTATCCCATAAAGTTCACTTCTTCCTGAATAATGGCATTGCCTTTGTTTTCTTTGTATTGTTTCTTTCTCATTATTATCTTTGATAAATATTGCGGTAAGAAGAGGCGACTTTTCCCCTCTATTATTAATAATAAAAATATTGTTGTAGTGGTGTGCGAATATGGATGGAGTCAGCGTCTTTGCAACAAACGTCATAATAACCTAAACGAGTTAACCAAAGTATCCTTTGTATGCAGCGATCGAATGGATGGTTAGACGTGGAGCTTGGGTAAATCGGCTTCAAAATCGGCAGAAGGTGTCAGATCGGCTCCGTAGGTGGTGGAGGCTGTGTAATAGGTAGCACTAACGGCGGCGGTGGGGCCGGCAGGGACGGCGGCGGCGGCCGCCGATCCAGAAACGGCATGACCCGTCCACCCAACAATGATAACCTCATGACCTTCAAGTTGGTCGTAGTCGGGGACGGCGGCGTGGGCAAAAGCGCCCTCACCATTCAATTCTTCCAGAAACTTTTCGTCACCGACTATGATCCGACCATCGAGGACAGCTACATCCAGCACACCGAGGTGGATAAACAGTGGTGCATCTTGGATGGTGAGCAAGAAAATTATTAACTCTGAGAATCTTCTGACATTAGTTGGATTCAAAATTGCCTGATCAGTCGGTGCAACGTGTAGAGTTACCGTTATACTTTTGGGAATATTGTTACTGGCTGGGACCCAAGCACCGTTAGTGTTTAAAAATTTGATCAACCTTTTTTTCAATTGTGAAAAACAAAAGGTGATGTATTTACTAAGGATGAGACACTTGGCATAGAAATGACTGTTTTTTCATTATAGAGTCTTGTGCTTTTAAAAGGAGATTGTAATGACGCGAAATTTAGACTCACTAAATAGTAATAATTAAATCTTCTTTTCACGATATTTGTATTATTTTGTGTTGTAATTCTTTTAGTGCTCGATACTGCTGGCCAAGAGGAATTTAGCGCTATGAGAGAACAGTATATGCGCAAAGGAGATGGTTTTTTGTTAGTATACTCCGTAACGGACAAACAGTCCTATGAAAATATTGTCAATTTTTATACTCAGATTTTGAGAGTCAAGGATAGAGATGTGTATCCTATGCTTCTGGTTGCCAACAAAGTGGACTTGGTACATTTGCGAAAAGTTACAGAAGAACAAGGTAGAGAATTGGCACATCGCTTAAGTATTCCTTATATCGAAACTTCTGCAAAAGATCCTCCACTGAATGTCGATGCTGCATTTCACGAGGTATTTCAGTATATTGTACACGATATTAAATTTAAATATATGAAATTTCATTGAATATATAAATATGCGTGTGCGTGTGTGTGCGCTCCTGTGTGTTTCTGCACGCGCACGCATGTATACATAATTTTTCTCGCATTTTTCATTTGAATCCAATTACATTGTTTGTTTTAGGTTGTACGTATTATAAGAAATCAACCTCCCGCTGAGTTAGAAAAGAATCGTCGAAAGCGACGACGTGCGGCAAAGTGCACGATTTTGTAATATTTGAACAAAGCTTTTTAAATTAACTACAGACCTACAGCACAACACAGTGGAAACATTCAGCATTAAGAAACTTATTAAGAAAATCTAATTTATTTGAAAATTTGTATTTTAGTACATTCTACTTTTTATAATTTATATATTTTTAAACGATTTTCTATATTGCTAATTTATGCGCATTGTTTACAGCGTAATGAACAAACCATTTTTTATCTCTCATGTTACTCGTGTATAAGAACGAGACAGGTTAATGGTCCATCAAAGTACCTCGCACATAATATTACAAATGTGCAAAATGTTAGAGATCCGTTAGATGTGTTTTATTAAATGCTGCTGTCGTACAATTCAATCTAGTCGAAAATTTGATATAAAAAGAAGAATAACGAGCCCTGTATTTATCTACCAATGTAAATGGAATCGATCGTTTTTCCATTAACTTTGCACGTGTGATTAGCTGAAAAAAAAGTATCTTGTAAATCATTGTCATGAAATGACTATAATATCTTTACATAAATATTTTATTATTACATATTTCCATTATAAAGCTGTAATGCAAGTTACTCATGAAATTGTCGAGAGCTTCAAAAGGTCTCGAGCATTTTATAAAATTTTCAACTGACTACGATACTTTAACAGAGACGTTTTTAAATTTATTAGTGCCAATTGTACTGTTTCATTTTTATTTCATTTTACTTTCATATTTGTACGGCAGTTATTACTGAGATAATAATCGATCTCTTTTGTTTTGTATATGTAATGTTAAATTTATTGGACATTTATTGTCCAATATATTTGCATATTTCATATAACGAATGAAGTATTTAATGTGTGGCAATATTGTCCTTTGATATTGAGTTTTAACATTTCTTAAATGTATAACAGAATTTAGATTGTAATATTTTTCCATTCACGGGAATGAAAAATTTATTCTCCATGTTTCAGTTGAACTGATACAATTTATAAAAAGTATTTAATTTTATATCTTAAACTATCATTTAGATTTTTCATATTATTTGAGAAATTTTTTTCTCATAATTCACTTTATCTTCTTATTTACAATAATAAAAAAGCACTAATTTTTGTACGTATATTATTTTAAACACAAATGTATCATGGCCTACGTTAGAATATAATAATATTAAGTAAATCATTTCGTATATTCGCATACAATAGTTTAAAATTGATGTATGTAGGGGGTGTATCGTTATGTGTACTCATGTGCAAAAGTGTCAATATTTTTTATTACTAAGAAAAAAAATGTAAAAAAAAAAGAAAGCAGATATGTACCAGATGTATATGAATGCGTGTTAACGAATGTAACCGTTCGAGAAACTTTCATTACGTAACCAATTTATTCATTACCGAAGCCTGTGATTTTTTCCAAAGTATAGATCTATACGTGTTCAGCTGCTGCTGTTGAGATCAATTTTCGAAAGGACAAGTATTATAATACGGTAACACTGTAAATAATGATACAAGCGCAAAAGTTTAGAAATTGTTCTGCAGAAATAAGCAAAATGTGCATACACGTATGCCGCCGTCCATTGTATAAGCCATCCACTCATTTTCAAGTCAGTTCTCTTCTTTTTCTTCTTTAGACGCACGGGCGAGTGATTACAAAAGCAAAACATTAAATACAAGGCAAAAGAGAATTTATAATATGCATCGACCATGCTTGGGATTTTTTAAAATTCGAAGCAAACTTCCAACATGAACTTCCATTTTATAATTGTTGAGAAATACATTGAAGCGAGAATTAATTCTTAAAAAGAGAGCGATAGTTTTTGAAAAATAAAATTATTGTAAATAGCATACACGATAATAGTGAACGGTAAGTCGTTTAGATAAATATAATAGTAATTATTATTACATTGTGATGAACTGTGCATTTAAAAAAGAAGAAAAGGAAGCACGCGAAAAAGAATAACGGCTATATTTTCTCAAATATCGAATCCCATCATGTACCCATAAGTTATGGTGTGTCAGAAATGTGCATTATTGTAACGTATGATACGTATGATACCAAAATGAAAATAAAAATGAAAAACAACAAGAAAACAACAACGTAATGTTATATATATCATAAAAGTTTGAAGGAAATTCGTGTCTAAAGTGAGATAAAATTTTTTTTGTTGAGTTATTTAACTGTGCAGGTCACTCTATGCATATATAAACGTAACATGACAAAGCAAAGTGTATTAAATGAAACGATAAATAAAATAAAATAAATGATGAGACGATGCGTTTAGAAGCTGGCCTATTTCGTACGAACCTCAAACGGAACTTTCATAAAATTCGTTGATTCCAAAATGTTTCCCTTTCATTTAACAGCAATATTTTATTTATTATAATGCATAAATACATTCGAGACTTTATAATTACTGTATTTTAAGTTGGCAATCTTGTTTCTGTAAAATACATTCTCGGTACGCTTTGCTGTTTACTATTTCTTTCGCACACACACACGCATAAGATACATTCGACTTTCGACGAGCTAAAGCTTTAGTTATCAGCACGTGAGCAAATGGGATAGTTTTTGTTTCTCTTTTAATTCCAGAAACTTTAAGACATGGTTGTATTAAAGGTATTCAATTTCTTTTTCAAATAAGTTATTTTTATGTTCTTAAGCGTAAGAATATCTGAAAAATATGTGAAATTTTAATGATTATGCATATGTGGCTATGTTTGAAAATATACGTTATGGCAATACATAAAGATAGTAACGTGGTAGTGAATAAGTAGAGTAGCGTTAGCCACGCGATCGTTATTATTTAGATAAATGTTATCTTGTGATTTTAGCACATTCGCGAGATTTAATTAATTTTCCAATAAATCAAACCGAGTGCTTTGATCATAAAGATAACCTCTCATTAGCTTTAATTATAATCGGTCATTATTAAATTTGGTATATTAATATACGTTCGACGGGTAGGCGCGCGCGCATACCTACGCATGCCAACGCACACCTACGCACGTTCGCATGGAGCTTTAATATAATACGCGTTTGTGCATTTCAAACGAGAAATAAAATGTGGAAAATATAATAATAATTAAACATTTTACTTCACATAAGTACTTCGTTTCAACAGTTAAATTAAATAGGACTTTATCTTGTTTTTTTATAGTTTTTAAATGAAAAATTAAAGAAACAAATTTTAAATAAGTAGAATTCTATTTTTATAGTGTAATAATCTTTAAAACATTTGAATAAATGTGCCGTATGACGATTATGAAGTACAATATATAAAATCCCGTAGCCTAATTGATTTATTATTATTTTTATTCGATATTGTATATGTAATATATTTTTTGTAATTATATACATTTTAAATGTTTAATTGATTATATGATATATTATATAGATCCAGTGAGCGAGATTTATTTATTTTCTTTTTTTTTTTTTTAAACTTTAGATATAAATCTGATTATTGTTCTATCATAAAAATGATTGGGTTTAAGTTAAAAGTTAATTTTTGTATTTGTTAAATAATTTCCAGTCGAGCTCTTAAAATTTTCCCAGATATAGTTTTACGTTGGTTCTAATGAAAACAAAAGGTACGCGGCCAGGTACTACTATTTATATGCATATTCGTAATTAACTAATATGAAAGTGCAGATTTAATTTAAACAATTGTCAATTAAAAAAGTAAGGAAAATTAGTTTTTATAATGTGTCCGAGGTATCGCTAATTTTAAATATCATAAAATTAATTTAATCACGATATTGATTATTTTATGCGATTATCAATTCATCGGTTTTTTCGGGTATAGACATTAACACATTTTTCTATTTTTTATAATATTTTAAGATTTTTATATTACGTACGTATATAGATTAAAAATTTACACAAAGCAGCTATTTATGCATCCTAATGTTCATTTTTCCCTTTCATTAAACAAGCACCTTTTGCATTTCATAAAGTTTTGTATTACTTTAAATTTATAATTTACATTTATAATTTTTAAATACCAAATAAAATTGAAAATAGCGATTGTATTTATTCAAATTTATATTGCATATAGAAAATATTTTCTTGAATTATTTTAGGCCTTTTAAAGAAAGAATTATAAAATAAGGAATGATATAAAAAGATAATTAGTATAAAATATCAATTTTTTTTAAATTTATACAAAGTATAATTAATGATTTTATACATGGAGATATAGAATGAATTTTTACTAATTAAAAGAAATGCTTTCAGCTTTATCAATATCAAGACTATTATACTTTATAATAAAATGCTTAAAAATAATATGAAGTTAATAATATAAGCAAAATAATAATTTTAATACAGCATAAAATAAAAAATAAAATTTTATAATAATATTTAAATTCATATAGTATTGTAGACATAATGTGGGTAATACTTGAATATTTCATCATATGAAAATTTCATTTAAGGGAAAGATGGTCAACTTTTCGATATTTTGTTATAAAAATTTAAAAATGATTAAAATATTCTTCGATTTTAAAGTAAAATAAAATAAAGTAACTTATGTGGAATTTTACGGATCTGAAATATGAAGGAGACCTGATATATGAATGTTAATACATATTTATGAAATTTTGCGCGTATAAAGCAAATTATTTAAAAACTCGACTATTACATTTAATAACAAGATATTAAATTTTGCAGTATTTTTCCGAATATTACGTTATAATATTATTGATATTATTATATTACGTTAAATAAATTGAATAAATATATATCACTAATTCGTGTATGTTTAGCAAATGGAGTAGCATAAATAAAAACAGCACGTTCATTTCACGTAGAATCGAAAATATTAGTAGGACATAATTTCCCTTACGAAGTAACGTTTAACAAAAAGGGATATTATTCTGAGTATATTTTTAGTATAAATAACAAAACGCAATCAACCGTTGGGAGATTTACCCTCTGACCCCTGGGTCCGGCAATGCCGTATTAACGGTAACTCTCGTCATCGTCAGGAAAATGGCTGTCGAATTTGTCCCAAGATCTTTTGCTGCACCGAATGTCGGGATATCCACGAGAATCGTAAACACCCAAACCCCAAGTGCTCGCTTTGCCTGAAGCAAGACCTTCCTTACAAGCCGCTTGTCAACCCGGAACTGCGCAAAAATTCCGAGTTTTTCTGCCATATAGCGTTCAATCATCTGCCCCTTGGCTGTAAACTCTGTGGTGATAAGTACACTGGTATTCAGGACCTACTTACCGCACAATCCTGCAGGTACGTAATTTATCAGCTCGTAAATCGTGCCCTTGTCTCTTGGCAATTAAATTTACTAACAAATGCTTTGGTTTAAATAAGTGGTGACATTTTTTTGTGGTTTTATATAATGAGATGAAGTACGTTTAACATTCAAAAAATTTTCATATTTATTAGTATTTACTCCTTGTTTTCATCTCCTTATAAGAACTAATGTACTTTACAAAGCTTTTTATTACATGCAGCTTTATTTGCTAATAAATCTTAATTTTAAATTATTCTACTTTAAAATTTTACTCCAGTTTATTATTATTTTACTTTCTCTTTTACTTCAATATATTTATAATAATTTCTATGCTTTATTATTCGACTTTCGTATATATTAAAAAAAAAATTTTGTTCATTTTCAAATTGTTCCCTTTACTTTTTTCCAGCATATTCCCCCTTCCTCCCTCATCACTATCTCTCTCTCTCTCTCTCTCTCTCTCTCTCTATCTATCTATCTATCTATCTATCTATCTATCTTTTTGCATTTTCTCTGTAGTTAAATTTTTTATTTTATGAATTAATTTTTTATTTATTGATACGATTTTTTCATATATTTTTCTGTAGTTCTTCTTAGATATTTTTACATGTTATTCTTAGATTGTACTTGTTATTGACTTATTCTAATCTTCGCTCTGATCATTTTCTGCCTTTTGTCCAACATTTCCTTAATATTTCTAACTGATTTTTTATTTCTACATCTTGTTTTTTTCTTCCACACGCTCATTCAAAGATCTTATTTATATTTCGTTGATATTTTCTCGTCGATCACTATATTCTTTTACGTTGTCGAATCCTGCCTTAATATTCATTAATTTTATTTCCCCACCTCTATAATTCATATTTTTCTTTTCTTTTGAATATTTTATAAATATTCTAAAAAATTTCTCTTGCATACTTCATATGGTTGTCATCGATTTAACCATTTTTCTTTTATATTATTTTATATGCTTACTCACTCTTCGTATTACATATTCAAGATACTTCAGTTCCTTTATATTTTCTATTTCTGAAGGCATTTTCTTTCTTCAAGTGTAAGTTAATAGCTTTATATCGCCGTTATACGTCATTGCTCGTGCACGTTTTTTTTCTATTGTTACTTCTTTTGCTTATCTTCTTTCAGTTCTTGCAAGCCTGTGAAGTATGTACTAAATATCGCTGAGCTGAAAACTGTATCGTATGCATGGATTATCACACCTATAACCTAAGAATGTCAAACAATATTGCTAAATAATAATTGATTGTACTTAAAATTATCTTAAATTTAATTGGTGATCAACGTAAGTTTTGAGAAACACTCCGAGACAAGGAAAATGATCAATAATTTCATTAGAAGCGTATAATTAATAATCCGTGCGGATAATTACTTTATTTCTCATTAACGTATATTCATGTTAGCGTTATTAAACGACGAATGATGAAGTAACAGTTGTAAACGGTAACGACATATACATTGATGTTACGCAGTGGGTTTTGCAAAAACATACCTGAACGGATTCTAAAACGCATGGCTAAACGACGTAAATAATTTTTCAACTGAACGTTAAATTTGATCTTCATAAGTTACTAGTTATAAATAATTAAAAGACCTAGACCTTTCTCAGTATGAGAGAAAAAGATCAAATATTTATTGATATTAAACAATAATTGTAACATTTTATATCTTAGTCAATTAATTCTACGCAATATATAGTGGACGAGATTAATATAAAATATTGACTAATAAAGAGCACTGGGATGTTTGAAAATTGGAAGAGCTCGTTTTGACTTTTAAATATTAGTCTATGGTATTGTTATATGATTGTAGCAATGCTTTATTATTAAATCGAATACCCAACCGAACAAAATGGAGGAAAACCTTTTAGGAAGACTTGGCGAAGCGAATATTTGCATGCATAATAGAAGGTAAACGGTAGACGGTGCGATTGCGATATTTTTTTATCACCGTACTGATGTAATATTAAAAAGCACTCGCATTAAGCGTTGAGCTAATGAAAGCGAGGCTCGAGCCTTCCTAATAATCATAATAATAAAACACAGGTGGTGGAGCATTGACTTGAAGCGGAAGCAGCGGGAGAGCCAAGCAGCAGTTACCGTCGCCGAAGACGTCCCTCACATCGCTGTCAACGACTCGGGCGACTCGGAAAATAATCTACCCGTAACGCCGTTATTCGCCATCTCCATCGACGACAGCAAGTCCTTGAAGATCGCCGACAGCAGCTCGATACTGCGTCTAAAACAGGAGAACTTTGACTCACCGCCGGAGTTGGTGAGGCACACGAGCACACCAATGCATAGCATCGGCGTCCTGGGTCAGAAGCAGCTTGGCACCGCTGCCATACCCCAATTTGTTCTCAAGACACCATCCTCGTTCGATAAGCACACCTTCGAGACGACCGAGAGCACGTGCAGTCACGTTGCTTCGTCGGGATTCGAGTCACGATATTACACCGGAATTAGCTCGAGCATTGACGAACCTTTAACGAAGCTTGCTCTTTCTAATAATAATACCGATAATACGGGGTAAGAAAGAAGGATTATTGATATTATCGTCGATAAATAGCTTGGGTTTTCCTTTTAATCCATACAATTTTTTAATGAAGGAACATGCCTTAAGCATTCGTGAAATTAGGTTACAGCAATAGGGAAATGTATAATTTACATAAAACAATAAATAATAGATAGTACAACGAGCTTTAACGAAAGTGAAATAATACGTACTTGTGTTATAGTAAATGTGATAAAAATAAGTTTTTATTATTATTTTTCACTGCGCAATATTTTATTCAAACGTAAATCTTTAATCTAAGACATTTTACTATATAGACCTATTTTCATTAATTATGAGTAGAAAAATAATGCGCAGAAAGTTTTAAAATAGTTCATCTTATGAATATGGAAATTTATATGAGTGAAATGGTTTTCTACCGTACTGTCTATTCACATCATACACTATTTTTATGAATCCCACGTTTATGTAACGGAATGTTTTGTTACATATGAAATGATTGTTAGAATGCAGCATTATTATCTGTAATTATTTAATTTTCACCCAAAGTTTACTTAATGTTTCAAAGTTCAATGCCTTTAAAGCATAGACTAAAGAACATTATTATAATTATGATAATATTTATATTATGATATATTATGTTATATATAGAGGGCCTATAAGGTTGTTAATAATTAAATAAAATTAAATTAATTAAAAAAAAAAAAAAAAACATGTCCAAAGCAATATGTAAGGTTTCGTAAGTCACTGTTTTCTAAACTTCTCATCAATAATTACTTACTTAAAATTAATAGCTAATTTCGTTTCAAAAGTTCCAGCGCATTTTCAAAACGCTTAAATATTTAGGTTTATGATATCAATATCATTTGATTAAATCCAATGAATTGTCAAAAATAAATGGAACATGTACTTCATTAGATGCAACAACTTTCATTTAATGTATAAAAACTTTAATTTATACTCACTGTAAGGCTATTGAACAAAAGTAAAAAGGATATATGAGAGTATAGATAGCAATAAGTGAAAGTAGTACAGATACGTTACATCAAAAATCTGCATTTGCAGATAATAAATTATTGAAAATTTATTATTCGCATGATGCATTTACATTTTATCCGATTTTTAAAAATCAGTAAATCGAAAGCCCTACAAAATGTGAGTAAAGTACTATGATACACGCATCTATCATCTCATGAAATCGCACGAGAAATCTTTGCATTCGCACATTGTACATGCAGTAATTATAATGATATGCATTCTCTGCATACGTATTACAAACGAATCGCACTTTCCACATACTCTTCAAGAACAATTCCTGCTTAATCTATCATCCAAAACAAAAAAAGCAATAAAAGAAACAAAAAAGAATTAAATAAAAGAAACAATCGGATAATCAAATGTACAATTAACAATGATTTATAGTGAGAACCAGCCCGAGGTCGATCCATCCTGGAATTCGCCATCCTGTCCCGTTACGAAAAATCATCTGCCACCGATGAGCGCCGAAGTGGCTAATGACAAGAAAGATCTTGTAGAGAGGAGCATTATGAAGTCGGACGTGCTGGACCGCGTGAGCCGCACGAGCGACAGCAGCCGCGACTCCATTGGGAAACGGGTGAGGTTTTCGGATCAGTGTCCAAACCTTGAGAGAATGTCTCCATCGAGCACGAATTGCTCGGTGCAGGAGACAGCCGCCGACAGCAGTGCTCATCTGGCTGACAGTGAAATTTTCTTCGAGGCACAGGAGAGTCTCGACGACAGCGGACCATGTGACGGAAGCGAGCCATATCCCTATTGTCAACGTAGCAACAAGGAGCGGACTGAAGGGGAGAATTCGCCCACGTCCTCTACCTCCGACTGCATCAATGACGATGGCAATTCCAACTCCAGCGGTAATAACAATAGTGCCAATTGCAGTGGAGACGAGAAAAACGGCAACGATAAGGTTGACGAGAGCAGCTGCAGCGAGAACGTCAAGAACAATGGCGGTGACGATCGCAACGACAAAGATAAGAAAAATGACAGTAATAATAACAACCAGGAGAGGAAGATTGAAAAGGATGTCGACAGCAGTGTGGAGAAGAGCAAGACAAATACGTCATCGAGAGTTTTAATGATGGTTTTAGTGGAGAAAACGGATTCCAAAAGTTTATCCAGTCTGGATTTACGCCCATTGATAGACTCTGGATTGAAGAAACTTGAGAAGAGAGTGGCAGCGGTTAACAGCTCTCCGCATACGGATAAGGGTACAATAATTAATGTTATTCGATAAATCTATCATGTATTATTTTATTAAGCGTTAACATATAACTTAGTATCATCGCAATGTTCATAATAAGGTAAATGATAAATCATCAATTGTAGATAGTTTATTAGAGGTTATTAGGAGGATAAGAAGATATGAGAATTTATCAAATAGGTGACATAAACCGACTTACCTTTAAGTCGCCAAAAACTTGTTATTACAATATTTTGCATTTAATGGAGAAATTCATGACTTTTATTTCAAACTAATGGTTATTTTAAGAGACGTAGATTGGTCGCATATTTAATTTTATTAACTAATATTTTATGCTAATTGTATTTAGAAGTTTATATTATAATTTTAAAAAAAAGTACAATGAAATTAAATGTTTTCCATCAGGATTATAATTTTTTAATTTTTCTTCAAAAAAATTCTGCCAATGACCTATAATGAGTCGCTTTATTGTATAGTTATTTATAAATTAAATTCCATTATATGATATTCACTTATTATTTCCATCTATCGTATATCAAATTACGATTAACGAAAAACATGAATACTTTTGTTTATTGCTAATTTATTTCAATTTAAAATTTTCGATTTTATATAAATGTATTGTTTTAAATTTTTCTCTAGAGTAAGATTTTATTTCAAAATTTATTGATAATTGACGTGATGATTGTAAATAATTTTTCAAATAAAATATGAAAATATAATAATTTCATCTTCATGGATTTATTTATCTAAAATTTGTTCTCACGATAAATATATTTCATTTGAATATATCATTGTTTTTGTAGGCGCAAATTAATTGGAGAATATATATATATATATATATGTATATATATATATATATATATAATTAATCAATTATGTACCTAAATTAATTGAAATAATTAAATGTATTCAATATTCCTCGTATAATTAACAGAAATAAGATACGAAATTGAGTATTTATTAGTGAAACAATTTTATTTGTTATTTCGCTATTCCTTTGTCGAAACTTATTTGGACGCATAAATATTTGCAGGCATTATATTTTTAATTTGCATATAACCATAAATTGCGGATATAATAAAAATTCGGTTAACATTGATTTATATTATAATTTTCATGAGAAAAACGTAATTGTTACTAAATAATAAATAATATTATCGAGATGTACATTAGTGATATGAAAAATAGGTCGTTATTTATAGCTTTAAAACTCTCACAGGCTAAAAATATATAATAAAGGAAGTAAAATGTATAAAAAAACATATTCACAGGGTACTACGAGTGTAGCTGCCAGTCGTCAAAGTTCAGCACGGAAGTGTCAAGTTTTGCGCGCAAAGTGAACAGCACATTCGTCGAGGATAAAAGTGCAAAAGCCCGGTTTGGCAGCTTCAGAGCCACGGGAAGGGAAGAGCGCCAGGCTGGTGGCTTGGAATCGAAGCTGTCGCAAGAGGTCAGGAAGGCGGACGGGGAGCCGGAGCGCCAGGTGACCAAGAAAGCAGACGGCCTCATCAGCTCCTGCATGTCGGATGGGATTTTTTCGGTAGTGGCGAGAGTCGTTAGATGCGCACTTAAGAAATTGCCTGGTAAAAGTCTATTACAATTGCTCATCTGCGCCGCCGCATTACGCCCCAATTTCGCAAGGCGTCCGCTGCTTTCCATCTTCGCGCGCGGGAAATCCTTGCCGTATTCAATGCTTTCCCCCCTCTCTTCTCTCTCGTTTCTGTTTGCTCTATTATTTTTATTTTTTTTTTCTTTATTATTGTATGCGTTCGCGCGTACACCTTTCCTTTTCCGACTTTACTGCCTTGTGCTCACTGCTGCGGCGGTGCGTTTTCTTTTTTTCCCTAGTGCAGACAAACGCGCAGTTGAGTATTGTGAGAAGTGTTTCGGCGCATCGCGAATTGTTTTCGACGTATCTTTATGACTTTAAGAAGTAACCTAATTAATTAAGGCATTGTTTTGTTCAGTAATCGAATTAACGCCATTGTTTTGTTTTTGGTTATTCGCTTATCATTCTTGCACATTGTCCCTCGTGAAGTTCATTAAATTACTTCTACGGCTTAAAACACGGTAAAAAATTCTAATGTACGTTTCCGTATAAAATAGCCTTATCCAGGAACACTCGATTACTATTGCCTTATTGATTATAAATGGATAAATTTTTTTTTCAATACACTTTATTGTAAAATGCATCATTAATACATTATATCGTGTACATTTGCATGTAAATGTATTTTGCAAATAATGGTAAATTTTCCAAAATATAGATTCTTATTTTATTCAATATAGAATCTCTAGTTCTAAATGTTTCAAAGTAGCTAAAATTTTTGGGAGAAAAATATTGTTTTTAAATCTTTATTCTGACAATAATTTTTTCTATACGACAAAATTGCGGGATTGTGATTTTTATGACTTTTTCAATTTAACCGTTTTCGTTCCAATCGTTTTATTACAAAATGTATGTTTGGTCAATCAATGAAACTCAAATTCTATTTTACCAGCGCTCGAAAATGTATTACATTAATACTTGGCAATAGTACATAAAAAATTTAGTAATATTTATTTAATATTGTATATAAATATTATTATACGGATAAAGCCTAAAGTTATGCGTAAAATTAGAGCTAATTATATTAATTGTTTATATGATTTGATTTATTATGGATATAAATATGCTTAAATTATGTTTAAAGATAATAATTAGAAAAATATTTCATATTAAATAAAAACTGTTTGGCTGTAAAGGCAAAAATAACAAACTATAATTTTCAAGCATATTCACGTGAAAAATGATTTTTCACATAAAAAATTAAAACTTTAACCATTTATTCATTATTTATGTAAAATTTTACATAAATTACCGCTACATCTTATTTATTATTTTGCAAAAATTGTCTATAGGAACTTAAAACTTCCTTAACTTTCTCTTAATTTTTTATACTATGTTATAAAACTTGCGTACTTTTCATCTTTCAGTGTAATATAAACTCGTTTTGAAAGTATTGTAAAAAAAAAAAAGTAAAGTCGAATTCTTTGTTATCCTACAATCCAGATTTTCGTTTATATTTCGGTCGATTAATGTCGACAAGTACTGCAAGTTTTTTAAACGAACGGCAGCAAATTGCAGTCAACCATAGTTGATGAAATGAAAAAAGAAAATATCAAAATAAAATAAGAAATAAAACAAAACAAAAAGCAAATAAGAAATACGAATTTTCAATGCTCAATCGGTGTATCGATTTGTTATGTCGCTTAATGGCATTCAAATTCGACATTTCGGCTTGAAAATCGCAGAGTCTTGTTATAATTGTATGATAAATGTAAGTAAGTCGAAAAAATGAGAAATCGGAAAATAATTTTAAGGTTTATATTTTGGCATTTGCAGAGTTGGGATAATTTTCATAGCACTCGCCCATTAAAAATTCTATGCCACTATGTCAGATTCCCCTTTTCGTAATACGCACAGCCGTATTAAGGCAAATATTTATCCATACTTTGTTTGTAGTACAAACGCATTTATGTGGATTGTGATGTGACTTCGTCGTGCAAGACAATGACCCAGGTGACGGGCTCAACGACGCGCACTTAATAACTTTCACGAATTCGTTGCAGCCGTGACCTCGGTGACCTCAAGGAACCTGTCGCGAGAGCCTCTGCCTCAGACCGCCTGCTCACCGGTCAGGATCACGACGACCTCTTCGCTCTCCATCACCTCGGCGGAGGTTCTCGCGGTAGGCTCCGGCTGCAGTGCCTCCACCTCGCACATCATGCTCCAGAGATCGGCTAGCAAACGGCCGCGGGATCGCCTTGATTCGGGGGAAGAGTCGAGGTACCAAGTTCCTCGCGATTCTTCAGGTAAGGTCGGCCTTGGCCGACGAGCGACCACCTACAACAGTCACGCAGCTCTAGAGTCATGTATGATCTTATGCATGCGTTAATGAAATGACGGTGCGCGATGGGCTTCTATTGTTACGAAGCCGCGACTAACGAACGAGAAAGTCTCGTTTTCCAACTATTTGGTATTGGCAGCATTTCATTTTAATGCCAATCTTTTCTATTATGCGTACGTCTAATTATGATTATAGTTTATCTAACATATACTTGTAATATATGATTATCATAGGCATTTGAAGCTGTTGATTTTACAAAGTCGCGTTCTTCAAATCAAATCGGAAATCGAAGAAATACTTTCAGTATCCATGCATGTAAAATACATATGGACGGTATAAGAAAATTTTGAATTATTAAAATTTTAATTAAATGAATAAATTTTTACGTTTAAGCGAAAGCGACTGCTTTAAATTAACTTACTGTTAGTTTCATTAGATCATTAACATTTTATCGATGCAAAAGACTCAATTTGTTGATTATTAAACGCAGATTCTAAATTACAGTACAAAACTATTCTTATTACAAACCGTATTTTACTACGCACTTTTATTAAAGTAATTAACAAATTAATATTTGTTTTTATTAACGTTGTGAGATTTACGTTGGATTACATCTTTTTTTTTCTTTTATAATATTTGATATGCTGATGCTTGAAATAAAAATAATGTGCCAGAAAAATATTCCTCTTTAATTCGTTATATTGTATGTGAATTTTGGTGCTTGAAATTTATCTCTTAACTTAATCATCGATTCGATATTCTATGCATAAATGTATAATGCACAATGCATACAGTATTTTTTATATTTTATTTTATGGAGTTTTAAACGTTTAATAGAATCTTTGAATTTTCGCAATCGTTTCGTAAATACTGTTTCGTATATTAAGAAATTTAAATGGCGATTATCTCTACACTTGGTTCAGTAGGCTCAATGTGTTACTTCTGCTTATTGTTTTTAAGCGTTGGAGAAAAAAAAAAGAGAGAGACAAAAGAGAACGTGTAATCGGCACAAAATGTATTTTCAAATACATTTATTATAATTGCCTATCAATGCGGCTACTTTGCCCTACTAATAAAGTACGCATTATTTCTTTCGTTTACTAATAATCTGTCGACTATAGCCATAAAAGAATTAATTATACGTATAAAGCATAAGTAAAAATACGCTGAGATGTAAAATAAAAAAAAAAGAAAAAAAAAATAGATTAAAGTATATGACCGATAATTATTTTACAAAGAAAATTAATATTCGATGGCTGACAACGTATGCTATACCATTAATTAGTTATTTCGAAAAAGTTAGAAGCCGCGAGGTTAACTCCGAAGCGACTTTTCACGAAATTTTATATTAATTTCTTTTATACGTCGATTTTACTTTAAGGCGCAACGATTTCACAGTACGTATTTCACATTACTTTACGACATAAAGTGAATGTATTGAGAATGCGGATTCAAATTAAACACGAGCTCGTAACGCATTCTAATAGATTCCACATTTTGAATTAGCTCCCAGTGAGATGAAATATACGGAGCGTCAATTACTAATACCATTATGAGCTTGCACATAAAGACCGTAAGCCAAGTGACACGCCGATAATCATAAAAGAGTTAAGGCCAAGAAACGGGCATTGCGTTAGCTCGAGCTTACGCTAAAGTTTAAAGGTTTAGTTAGCTGCGTGTGAAGCACTAGATGCACAGCTCCGCGGCGCGTTCGGCCCCAACTAATAACAATAACAACAACGCCAACAGTGGCAGCAACGACAGCGTCGCCGAGGCTTTGTCATTGCCCCTCGGATACGGCCGCAACCAACCGCACAACAAAACGACTGTTCCAGGTAACTTGAGTCCACGAAGCGAGGTGATCTCGAGTCCCGCGGCGAAACGTCATCGCGGTTGGTACCGCATAAGGGCCCGTGAGCCGATAGCTCGCATGCGCAAACGTCAGATCGTCTCGCCGAGAGGCGCCTCCCTCGAGACCCAGCGCTTCCAGCAGGGCTCGCTGACAATCGGGGACACCTATCTGCCATTGCCCTCCCGAGCCCACCAGTCGACGCAGACGGAGTGATTGCCGAGGATTCGAGAGCACCGATCAACCGATCGCTGGTAATAATCTGGTGCTGAGGTGCAAGCGAGCCGCTGGTCGTACGAGCTCCACGGCGAAGGCGATGTCCCCGGTAGTAAGGAGTAGTGACATCTTCGTCCTTCGGCCCGCTACTACTGCTGCCGACATGTGTAAAGATTGTTCTCTCTTCCTTGGGATCGGCTGCTTTAGCCAAACTAAGGAATTATATTTCTTTTCGCATGCAAAAAGGGATTTAGTGCATGGAATTTGGTCCGTCTTTAATATAGTTTGGGGTGGATTGTTAAGCGAGGTATCGTTGAATGAAGTCATTTTTTTTTTCTTCAAATGATGGTCCTAGTTGAAGATGTACCTAAAGCTTCCTTTTTCTCTTTTTTTTTTTTTTTTTTTTTTTTAGACAATTTTTTCTCACTTCATCGTTGTTGAGAAAAATGCAGTTTTTTGTCTATGTAGAATGCAATTTTCAACGTTCTTCGAGTAATGCAACTGTGATACGATATCAAATTGATGTAAACATTTCCTTACTATATACGACATTTCCTCGCTTTTAGTGTTTAGTTTTTAAAATAATTTTATGCTCGGTAATATTATGAACAAAGTATTTTTTTAAAAGCATTTCGAAAAGTACCAAATAAATTTTATAAAATAAATTTTTAATAGATAATTGCTTGCCACTTGTAAATATTTGAAATACCAATCGTTTATATAAATGTGAAACCATTGATATTCTCATTGCATTAAAGTGTAATTTTACGTGTCATGCTGCATACTTTGTTTAAGCTAAATATGTTATTAGGTGTAATTTATTTAAACTTAATGTGCTACAATTGCAGCATCTGTACTTAAGTTATTTACTTGTCCTAGTGCCATTTCATGTCATAAGAGAATTAATACGTTGAAAATTATACGGTTGATTGTATATTTATGTTATAGTAAGAATAAGAATAAAAATGCAAATAAATGAATGATAAAAAATAAATAAAAAAATAAAAAAAAAAAATAAAAAAAAAATAAAATAAAATAAAAAAGAATAAAGAAAAACGCGAAAAAACGAAGTAAGCATATTTATGGTTGTATATTATCATAATTATCATCATCGTCGTCATCGTCGTCATCGTCGTCGTCACCACTACTATTATTATTATTAGTTTTGTTGTTATTATCATTATTTATTATTTATCATTATCATCATCATTATTATTATTATTATTATTGTTGTTGTTGTTGTTATTATTATTATTATTATTATTATTATTATTATTATTATTACTACTACTACTACTATCATTATTATTATTATTGTTATTGTTGTTACAACCACTACTATTGCCAAGAGTTATCATTTTCATATTTTTGTGCTTTACATTTGACGTATATGTAGATGGTATCGTAGTGTGCGTCAATCGCTATGTAATGTTAAATACAATCAACATTAATTTATTGGTATTATACAGAAGCTGATTTAATGCTTCTTCGAAAACATTAAGCAAAAAGAGGATTGCAGAAAGGAAAAACGAAAAATGAATTATTTTTCGTGTTTTTTCCGCGATTTTTCTCACAATCCGTGTTATGCGGATATTGACAAAAAAAAAAAAAAAAAAAAAAAAAAAAAAAAAAAAAAAAAAAAAAAAAAAAAAAAAAAAGTTTCCAGTAAGAAAGCCACGCATAATTGGGCCTTAAGTGGCGAAACGAGTCGTGTCGCGGTCTTTTAAGTTCTTCTTGATAATCAACGTTCTGCTTGTTATCCACTTGAACAAAGCGAGTAAGATATACTGGTTCATAGTATTTACATTCGTCGTTTGTGTCGATCCAATGAGAAGGTGCATTGAACATCCACTAATTCATCTAACTAATTCTTGATCAAGTTACACGCCTCTGAGAGTCATTAATGCTTTAAACTCGATCATCCACACTACTTAAGTAACATCTAATTTTATAATTTCTTTGTTATGCGTAAGTGCATCATACGTAGTTAGGCGCAATGCTCAAATCAGCTCAAATAATTCTATTTTTAATTTATGCGATTTTTTACTTGTGTGAATATTAAATGAAATTATAATGTATGATACTTTCGAAATAAAACAGCCATGATTGCATTCAATGCAGGCAGAGAGGAACGTGTTCGATCGCTCACTGCTCTTACGTGCATTCGATGCCATTGAATTTGCAGTGTAAATTTAATGAAAATAAAGAAACTTTTTTAAGCTAATGAATAATTTAATCTGTGCTTTCCTTTCTTCATTCTATCATGCCACGTTTTGTGTTCACTTTCATATAAAATATAATATTCGTTACCAAAAAAAAAAAAAAAAAAAAAAAAAAAAAAGTGTTTGAAACCCACATTAAAAAACAGTGTTTGAAACCCACATTGATTTTCCTTAATAAAATAAGCGACAAAATTAAAAAAATAATTTATCTATATTTCCTTTTTTCATCGCGTTTAGGATCAATTGATATTAGTGAGGAAAATTTCAATCATATATATTTGAGTTGATAGATTTTTTTAACGTAAATAATTATAAGCTATGTCCATTTTTATAACAAAGTATCCACACGAAGGCTTAAGTTAACAAACAAATGATCGATATTTAAAACAGTTTATGAAACTGTTGCTATGAAATGGATTTAGTGCCTACTTTAATCGATAATCTCCACACAGTCGCATCTACGTCGTATCCCTTAAGTTACACATTCACAACGGATAATTTCCACGCAAATGTCAGCTATGCAGTCTAAATGTTTATTCATTAGTCTACGCATACTTACTTATTCATGCACACGTGGGCACTATGAGACTGTATATGAAAAATAATAATCTTGCATTTCACGTATTAAGACTGCACCTTTACGAGGCTTTTCAGATTACATGGGAATAGCGATTTCAAAATAAGTTCGAGGCAGCTTACAGTACGCTTGGTGCTTAGTGAGCTCTCAGCGAAGAAATGATGTTGAGAAAATACGTAGAACATTTTTAAATCTAAGTGGAACAAGTTCGACGCGCCGAACCCGGCATGCACAAACGTACTTTCTATGCGATTCAATCACGTCTCGCAGCAATTCATTCCTCAAATATCAATGCGTCGTGGTGATAGAGGCCCGTGTTTATTGACCTCAGCGAGCATCCTTCATCTCGTCCATGTCGCATATGTCTCTCTCTCTCTCTCTCTCTCTCTCTCTCTCTTTCTTCATTTCTCATTGGCGGTCAAAGTAATTATAATCCAACCAGATTCATCTCGTAAAATCCCAACACGAGGATTTGATTATACGGCGTAAAGGGATTCGGTCGCACTTTTACGTAGCGACAAAGAGGCGTGATTCGTATGCGCCGCGAAAGCCTCCGTTGACTTTCTCGCCTCTTCGTTTTGTCGCGAAAGCCTTTGTCGCGATTGCCTTGGTACTCCAGTCTGTACTTGAACTTGAGCCAGGAACGTAGGCGCTGGATTATTTGTGTTATTAGTCTTTTGCGGTGGTCCAACTCGCTGTGTGGCACTGGATTTATGGGGCTGCTTTACCTCCATTGGCTCGTGCTTGGTTATGACGTAGATCCGTCGAGGGAGTGAAGAAAGCGCGATTGTCGCGAGGACGGGCATTTAGCTTCCGTTCTTTTGTTTGGAAAATCTGGCGACGTTGCAAATAGCATGGAATTAGGACTTTATTAAGATTCGTAAATGGCGATGTCAAGTTGGACTGTTTCAGGGGCGAAAGTCTCACATTTTTCACGGTACAATTCCTTTAAGAATGTCCAAGAAAAAGATTTCGAATTTATATTGTACGTCACTTGTTCAAGTATCTTAAAAGTGTAGAAAAATATTGTTATAAAATATTTTTATTTGTAATACTGGTTTTATAATTGCAACCGCCGCCTCACTTATATAATTACATTTGTTAGTAGCAAAATAAACATTATAAATCTAGAAACTTATTATTACATTATAAAATATATTATAAAATATTGTTAAATTTGAAATTTGTTGTTCAATTTATAAAATACATAATTTACATACTTATTGTGTAAATATTGATAACATGCACAAAATTATTATTGAAAATGAATAGTTAAGAGCAAAATTAAAATCGACTAATAATTTAAGAGGATAAATATTTGAAAAACAATAATCTAACTCAATCTAGTATACGTATTTTCTAAGAAGCTAATGAGATTATCAACACTTTTTATATTGATACTATTTAACGATGTAAATCATTTAGAATTATACTTTTCTTTCGGAGACTGTGACGCTATTACGCAAAACTAAAACTTGATGATAAGGAATGTGTTAAAATACCGAGACCCATCAGCAAATATAATTTTATTTACATATCATTTTCTTAAACAAATATTAATTGCGAAACAATTGTTTACGCTAAAGATTACCGATATTTCTTTATTCTTTTAAATTCAAAATATACGTTGTTATTGCTGATTCGTTTAACATGTAATTACAGAATTCATGATGCTAGAATAACATTATTATTAATTATCCAATTTTTGTAATGTATTGATATCGTTATTATAAACAGTATTTGTTATTATACTTTTTATAAATAAAATAAAAAAATTAAATGAAATAAATGGAAATTTTTATCGAGTTTTTATTGAGTATAAAAGAAATTTAAGAAAAATAACGAGAATCAATAATTGATTTTTTACATATATACAAAATTTATTTTATTGATATTTTAACAATGATTCTTTACAAAATTTATATATTAATTTTATTTTCAATAATTAATTTTTGTATAGATTTTTTCAAAATCATTTTATAATTTATATAATACGTTTATATAAATCACGAATGTAAATATTCAAATATTATTGATTAATAAAATTTATTATTTAAATGAAGCTTCAGTGTAATTGTAAAATTTAAAAGTTTTGTACGATTGTTTAAATAATCTAACCGATTAACTTTAAATTATTGTTTATAATTAAGAAACTTTATTAGAAACATAAAATTATAATTATCCTTAATAATATCGTAAGCTAATTAAGTTAATTAAATATTTTTAAATAGCATTTTTTTATAACGAAAATTCTCATAATCATTATATTTAAAAAGTAGTGGTACTTCTTGAAAGTAGCGTATTACATCTTAATATTACTTCTATATACTTTCAATAGATTAGAACATATTTATGAAAGTATAAACAATGCACGAAGCCATTGTCTTAGAAATTACGATTACAATTTAAATAATTGTTTATTACTGCAATACCCTCAAATTAATAAAAAAAAAAAAAAAATAAGAGCTATTTTATAAAATAGTATAATAAG